ATGAGAAAAGCCTACATCTATCATCCACTACATTTCAGGGCAAATAAACTTGAAATTACATATCATCCAATTTTCCACCGTGCAAAGTGTGTGCCATAAAAAATGTGTGGATAGTCAACATCTAGCCCATAAGTCGTCATCCTCTCGGGTCGGTGAAGACCACAAATGAGAGACCTAGCTCTGATACCACTTGTAGGTCTAGATGGCGGACTAGAGGGGGGATGAGTAGTCCTTTCTAAAACTTAATCGCGCCGGCTAATCGAAACAAGTGTGGAATTAAAACTATCGGTCTAGCCAAAACTATACCTCTCTATCTATGTTCTCTAGCACCTTTTAAAGATCCTAATTAAGCAACTAAGATGCTAAGCTAGGTAGAGCTCACCTATCCAATTCTAGGAGCAAGGTCACACAAAACTATGCCACTAGTATTTTGCACATCAGGAAGCTTCTACACAATTCTAATAAGCAAAAGCACAAAGCTCCTAAGCTCACAGGTAATGCTCAATAACAAGGCAACCAATGCCAAATTAGAGAGCGCAAATACTTAGCTACACAAACTAAGCAATGTGACTAATGAGGTTACACAAACCAAATTAGCCACGCAAGGGAGTTACTTCTATGCTACACAAAGCAAGAAAGTAACTAGTGAGCTACACAAGCTAGCTAATTACAAGAGCAATTACACAAGCACAATGTATATGAAAGTAATTATAAGCTTGTGTAAGGGGATTGCAAACCAATGGGAAAAACAATGTTGACACGGTGATTTTCTCCCGAGGTTCATGTGCTTGTCAACACGCTACGTCCCTGTTGTGTCGACCGCTCATTTGGTGGTTCGACGGCTAATTGGCATTACCCGCCAAGCCAGCACGTCTAGAACCGCAAGAACCGACCCCGAAAGTGAGGGTAGCTCAATGACACGTTCAATTAGAGTTGCTTTTCGCGGCTCCCGCGGGGCGAGCACAATGCCCCTCACAAAGCTCTTCTCTGGAGCACCGTACAAGCTTCTTGCGGGCTTCAATGGAGACCACCACCAAGCCGTCTATGAGGTGGCAACCTCCAAGAGTAACAAGCACCACCGGCTTGCAAGACAACCACATAGTGCCACTCGATGCAACCTCACGATGCAATCGCACTAGAATCGCTCACTCACTCGATCGGATGAACACTATCAAGCTCAAGTGAGTTAGAGGGCTCCCAAGCACTACCACATAATCCACCAAGGCTCTAGTGTGCTCAGTAACTAGCCCAAGGCCAACCAATGCTTGGTTTTATAGCCCCCAAGAAAATAGAGCCGTTGTACCGTTTCACTGGGCACTTTTCGTACTGACCGGACTCGCAGGTCATAACGACCGGACGCGCAGGTCACAGAGTCCGGTCGCTAGATTGACGCCACGCGTCCCCTCCTTTTGAAGCCGACCGTTGGGCTTCAATGGCTAGCTCCCACGCGCGCATACTCTTGACCAGACGCGCCCAGGTCCAATGAACGGATGCGCCGAGGCCGAGTCCGGTTACCAACGCATTTATGCACAACTGACCGGACTCACCTTTATCCTATGACCGAACTTGATTCTATCAGCGTCCGGTCACTTCCAGAGAGGTTCCAGAGAGCTCTTTTGATGACCAGACGCGTCAGGTCATCATTGACCGGACTCTCCGTGCATCCGATCGCTCTTGGACGTGTTAAAAACACTAACTGGACTTTGTGACCGGACTCGCAGGTGCTGACCGGACGCGCAGGTCGCAGAGTCTGGCCACAGACCTTTCAGCGCTAAAACGGCTATAACTCTTAGCTCCGAACTTCGATTTCGATGATCTTGAACATTTTGGAAAGCTTACTCAGAGATCTACACATCCCACATGCATACTTGATCTAAATCACAATGGATCAAAATAGTATTTCAATCCAAAGACCATCCTATAGTTCGAAGTACACCGAAAAAACTTTTTCTCTTCTCTAAGTTGATCCACAACAGCTCCAACTTCTTCTCCTTTGCAAAGGTGCCAACACCATCAAGTGTACACCACCAAGTGCAAGTGTGTTAGCATTTTCACAGATATTTTTTAAAGGATTAGTCACTCAATTTACCACGCCACTCGATCCTAGCAACATCGCAAAGTTAGATCGCTCAAGTGGCACTAGATGACCGATATACAAACAAGTTTGCCCCTTTTGATAGTACGACCATCTATCCTAAACCGGTCATAAACTTCTCTACACATTTATGACCGGTGAAATAAAATGCCCTATAAATTATACCTTTGTCTTACGCATTCTATTCCATCTCCTCCGATATCGATGCAACACATGCACTAACATGATCAACAATGATATGATCCATTTCATATCATCATGTGATCTTATTGGTTCATCGATTTTGACCTCACTTGCTCTTTGCTGTTGCATCGGTCCATCGGTGCTAAGTCTTTGCTCAAGCTTCACCACTACACGGTCCATCGCTCCAAAGCCTTCAATTTGCCATTCACGCTTGCAACTGGTGCATCAAGCCAAGTCATATCTTGATCTTCTCCACCTTAGTCATATGACTCCATGTCATGTCTCATATGCAATGAGCTCTTTCATCACATATGTGAGCTTTACAACATCTCCGAGCCATTTTCACCACCATGACATATGTTGCCCACACACATACATGTGGACTAATTTTCGAAGTTCAGGCCTGGGCATCTGTTCGAACATCCGGGTGCCTTGCACTGCTGATTGTCTTTATTATACATTTGTTGGTTACGACTGCTCCTAGATGAGACGAGGGGCCATTTTTGAAATTTTACACAGCAATTGTCGGAGTTGTGGGCACAAACTGGAGACTTGAACTGCCTTGTTTGCTTGGCTGATAAGCCATGACTGAAAGTACTGTTGACTGATTTGTTGTGAGAAAAAAATACTATTTATTACTAAAAAAATGTACAGACTTATAAACCAAAGATCATCACGCCATAAGATAGCACACTGTAGCCCCACCGCGGTCAATAATGCCGGCCGGACCCGGACGGGAAAAGATAGCAACACGACAGGTGGCGTCCAACCACAGCCTGAAACGCGCCGGGGCGCAGCGCGAACTCCAAAGCCCACCTGTCCAGCGGGGGGGACCTCGCCGTTGCTGGAGCGGCGGCGCCGCAGGCGGCAGGTCCCCGTCGGAAGCGTCCACGTCCCGGAACGCGAGTGGCGACCGCGGCCGTCCCTGCCAGCCCGCTTGCACGCGTGGGCCAACGGGCGAGGCGCACGCCAGCACGCCCGTGCGTTGTCCGGAGGCAAGCAACCGCAGGCTGTCCCGTCGCTACAGACGCTGGGATGTGCGCAGCTGTACTACTCCTACTCGCCCAGGGCGACCGGGACATCAACTTCGGTCGTCGGAGAGAGCTCCTTTGCTCGAGAAATGGTTGCCATCTGGCTACCGGTGGCACCGGAGCGGATCCGAATTGTTTAGTTGCCGCATTACCAGATATGGAGGCATAACAAAACACTGGAAAATGCTTGTAAATAAAACATCTTCTACACTATTTCGAAGGTTGAAGGTGCGGTGCGGAGGCAAGCAAGCAACGGAGCCGTAGTACTGGTACCAGCACAACTGCACAAGGCAAAGGCAAGGACACGCCGCGCGGTGTCGGCATGGCAACAATGGCGCCCCACACGACCACGAAATCCACGATACGGCGAAAGAACGCAGGGGTTTTCCAGTGCACTGCATTGGCGCGACAGGTCACGGACGAGCGAGGACGAGACGGGGGCGAGCGAGCACGTGCTCTCTGGGGTGTGGGTGTGGGTGTGGGTGTGGCAGCGGATGGCGCTGGATCGCAAGCGGACACCGAGCTCGCTCGGCGACCGGGCCGGGGCGGTGGCCTGGGTATCGCCGGCAGGAGATCAAGATGGGAGGGGGCTTGAGGATTGGATTTGGAGGGAAGCGGCACACGGTTTAGGTGGGAACACAGCTCCAGGCCTCCAGCGTTGCTTGTCCGCATGCGTTCGCCTGGGGGTCGAGGTCTCGAGGACGAGGAGCGCCGACCCGACCTGGTCTGGTCGTCCGAGTCCTTTGTTGCATTCAAGACAAGTTGATTCTCGTAAAATTTCTGTATCTATAAAAAAAAATTCTGTGTTTCAAAGGGCTTTAAAATAGATTTCCTACTTCAAACTTTTTGAAGCAGAGTATTTCAATGAATCAGTGATGGTGGATTCTCGTAAAGTTTTGAGGGCAACGATGGAGACCCCATTTTTTCATAGGAGGTCATATTCCCTTGTTGTCTTATCTCTGAATAAAAATCTAGTCTGCTTTCTATGACAGATGACGACAGATCTTTTGCGTGTTGTTCTTTCTAGAAAATGTTGGCTGTGCTCGCTGCAGCTGAAACCGCGCTTTTTTTTTTTGCTGCTCCGACAGTAAATCATGAGAGGAGTTTCTGCAGCTGTAGCTGCAGATAAGCTGCAGCCAGCACGGCCAAGTAAGGCTCGTTCCCTTTGGTTAGGATTGAAGCTAGATAATATTCCAACTAATCAATGTAATATAAATAAGCCTAATCATTCTGAACCGTTCCAAAGTTTACGAACGAGCCTAAAACAGACAGTGATACTTTGGTCTTTGGCGGATGCACTCTTCCGTTGCTTTTGAACTTTGTTGCGGGCTCTCTGTCATCTCTCGCTTCGGCCTGTAGTTATTATCTTGTGATAGAGACCTTTTGGTTTTATTATAATGCCATGTTCGTTTGAACTTATCAGTCAGACTCATTAATCATGATACGGTGTTTTTCTCTCGCAACGAAATTGGATCAGCAACTTAGCCGCAAAAGCTATCGGGCGCAAAAATCTTTACTTGATTTTATAAACTTGCTTCTCGGTCATCTCTCTCTGATACTTTTTGGTCCGTGAGGCTCGTTGGGCTTGACATGAAAGGAACAAGCCCGTTCATTTTCTTTCCTGGCTGAAACCATGGGCCGGCCCATCACTCGGATCCAAAGCCCACTAAAACCCGTGCGAGTTGGGATTGATGGCCATCGCCGCGGACGGATCCATCTGGCTCCGGTCGTCACAAGGCAGTCAGTGCATCGCGGCGGCGACAAGGAGACGAGACGACAAGGCAGGCAGAGCGGGCGGCGACTACAGCGGCTGCAGATCTCGCGGAATGGTGAGCCCTCGACTGCCTTCTCCTGCGTAGATCCAGGGTTCTGCTTCGGAGCCCGCTGTGCTGACACGGGATTCGTGTCGCAGGCAGCGAAGGCGATCTCGAGCCCCGTGCCGGTGGAGTGGTACCCGACGCTGGCCGTCGTCATGGTATCTGTAGGTCTCATGTTCACCGCCTCCTTCTTCATGTGAGTGCCCCTTCGTCCGCCATCTGTTACTGCCCCTTGTACCTTGCGATTTGGCGGATCAGTCCTGGTGCCCTGATCTGATCTGATGCGTTTAGCCGCACTCGCCTGGTGCCCTGATTTGATGTGTTTAGCCGTTGAGTTTTATCGGTAGGATGTCGAATTGACCTGTCCGCTCGTTCGGATTGGAGATCTCGTCTGTTGCCCTGATCTGATGTGTTTAGCTGCCGAGTTTTAGTGGTAGCATCCCTGTCCCTGTTCTATGCCGCTAGGGGAAAACTCTATTCATGGCGGGGCAGTCATGGATTACTATTAGTCGCCATGGATGTTCTGGAATGTTGGATGACAGTAACACAGGGGTTGGTGCTTACTGTTTTCATGAATTGGAGTGTGGGTTTAGGTTTGATGAGAGTGTTCTTGTCTGTGGGATTTTGGGGTGATTTTGAAGTTGCAGCAGCGACCAGTGGAATGTGATGCAATTGAGTCCTTGCTATCGTGTAGGTCATTTTGGAGTTTGTTAGCATTTAACTCTATGCTGTGTGTTGCAGGGGGATTTCCTTTTTGACCTGTTAATTTTTTTATACTGGGCTTGTAAGTTGTTTGCTGAAATAGAACATGCACCATATAGCTTTTTAACTTGAGTTAACTATTTACTGGAGAAAAGCACACATACCTTGCCTGACTAGGCATACACAAACTGCTGCCTGGTTTGCTGGTTTCGTGGACCTTGATTAACCTCAGTGTCAGTGGTGCTGACCCTGACCAACTGTTCAACAAACTTTTTGTGAATGCAATTGACTATTTGTTTCTTCCTTTTTATGTGTGAATTCAATAATTCATTGCCTAACCGAATTATCATTTCCAGTCTAACAGTTGTACTAACAAATTTATAAAGATAATGTCTAGCACTTTCAGTACAAGAAGGCTCTATTGATTAAAGTCCCGAATTTAATCTTGTGGTTGCTTTCAGTTACATGAAGATCTCCTTGTATATTATTGTACTTGTTTAAAATCCCAAATTTAATCTTATGGTGTTTTCTTTGGTCAAATATCACATGCTGGCATACGCATCCTATATTGTGTACTGCTTTGATTTTGGTCTTTGATTTACATTTCAATTTCATTGCAATGTATTTCCATCAATTTGTGCTCAAGTGCCTACAGTTTTGAGCCCTGAAATCCTGGTCAAGATTGCAGTAACCAAGTAGCAAGTTGCAGGTTCTTTTGTCCAATATGCGCTTGTTATGGTGGTTGTAGTGCATATGACAATGGAAGGGTGGAAGCAGATGGTAGGGGTCAAACGGCATGGCGAGGTCAAACCTAGTTGCAACGAAACTTTCTTCCCCATCTCCTTACATCAGGCCTTATATAGAGCGGGCCCCAATACATTTGCCCTTAATTTGAGCTACTACCAACCTAGTAAACCGAAACCAAATCTCCTAACAAACCAATCTTCCATGTAATTCGATCTCCTAACTACCAAGCACTCCAATCCTCAAACAAACTAATTCGAAGATAACTCATGGCGGCGATCCTGCTGCTTCTCTGGCTTTCTTGTGATGCTTCTGTTGAGTGCAGCGCTATATGCCACTAAAGGAAATAACCAGGCATACTCCCTCCGTCCCTAAATAACTGTTGTTGTTTTTTTCCGTGCCGGAAGTTTGACTAGATTTGTAGAAAATGCGTGCAGCATTTGTATATCCAAATAAGTTTATTATGAAAATAGATTCAACGATCTATCTAATGATATTAATTATGTAATAAATATTAATATATTTTTTATATAAAATTAGTCAAAGTTATTTCTTGGGAAGCGAGAACGACAGTTATTTAGGGACGGAGGGAGTAGATTATAGGAATTGACATTTTACTGCTATCATTTAACTTTATCTGTTTGGAAATTGTTTGCCAATATGGAATCTGGTTATCTGCCCCTGGACATAACAAATTGTTCCAAAGAAGCAATGGCATGAATTATAAGGGGGTGTTTAGATGCTTTTGGAATGGCAAAACTTTTGCCCCTAATCTTTTGCTGCAAAACTTTTGCCATTCAAACTTTTGGCATTTGGTGTTTAGATGCATGGCAAAACTTTAGCCATGCAGACACGGCACGCGCCCCCAAGACGTTTTTTGCCCAGTTTTGGGCCTCTTGGGTCCCAAATGCCAAAAGTTTTGCAGCCCAAGTTTTGTTGTTTTTGCCTATAGTGTTTAGATCCATTTTGCCAAAAGATGGGATAAAACAGCAAAAGTTTTGGCCAAAATGGGGAACTAAACAGGCCCTAAATACCATGAGATGAATGCAGAACAAAGCCATATGCTTCAAATTCCATAGATAGATAGTAGAGCTGTAGTAGAGCTTTAATGAGAGCAAAGTATCCACAATTTGTTGCTAATGTTTTTCTGTTTCAGTTATGAAGCAACTTCATCCAGGCGGAGCCGTAGCGTGCCAAAGGAGATCGCAACGGCAGCTGTTGCTTCTGTTTTCCTGGTATAAACCTTATGCAGAACATTTTGGTTCTACAATTCTGCAGAGTGTTGGGTCTCTATTCCATCCTTAGCTTTTGGTTGTTTTATACAATTTCAGAAAGGTGATCAATTCATGCCTAAGTTATCTTTGATTGTTCCACAGGGCTTTGGGTCTCTATTCGTGCTCCTTGCAAGTGGTGTTTATGTCTGATGACTGGCTATGGGCCGTGTGCTTGTGTTCTGCATCCCTAGTTGTAGACTTGTAGGATATGCTAGATCCTCAAAGTTCGTGTTGTCCTAACGAATATGGAGCCTTTGAACTTATCCTAGAACAATGTAAGCAACCGAGTTAAAGCAATGTTCAGACGTTTTCTTCCAGGTCTGCATTGTATCATCAATCTAAATCCCAGTTGCCTGAATTTCTGCGTATTACAGCTCAATATTGCTGCTTATTTATTATGTATTACAACATATTTTGCTGTTTTATGCCTTGCATTGTGACTGAAGAATGATCTGGATAGGACATGTGCTATAAGCATTGATCATACGATGTTATGACACGATGATTTCGTCCAAAGACAAATCCAATCAGTACCCAGACACTGCCCACAACCAGTCCAAGGTGGCCGGTTCCGAAATATTCTGGTTAATGCCAAAAGGGAGTACGTGAATGAAGAGCAATTTTGAACTGCGAAGAATGTACTCCCTCCATCCTAAAATAAAAGTCGTTTTTGCTTTCTGAGGAGTCAAATACTTTTAACTTTGACCAAGTATATATAAGAAAATATTAATTAATATTTACAGTACATAATAAATATCATTAGATAGATCGTTTAATCTATTTTTATAATAAATTTATTTAAAGATATAAATATTGTTAATATTTTCTATAAATCTAATTAAACTTAAGTTTGAAATGCACGAATATCATAGCAATATTTGTTTTGGACAGAGGGAGTACGTGCCTATAAATATACTGCTCCGCGTCCAAAGCTATATTTCCCATGAATCCATGATGTAGCTGTAGGGCCTGTTCGCTGGTTGGTGCTGGTGCTGGTTTGGGCTGGCTGGTGCTGGTTTTTTGTGAGAGAAAAACACTGTTGGCTAGCTGGTTTGGGCTGGCTGAAACCAACAAGCGAACAAGCTGGTAGACTGGATAAGGAAAGAAAGGAGATGTAACGTATTCATCATCTTATGTAGGCTCAGAACCAAATTATGTTGCTATCAGAGCATCTCCATTTGTAACGAAGAGAGTATCTTAGAACTAAAACGACTTACAATTTGTAGGTACTTAGAAAACCAAAATGACTTATAATTTATAACGAAGAGAGTGTCTCAGAACACATCTTCTAGACCTGTCGGTGCGAAAAGTGACCAACTAGTAAATATTTATCGTTTTGCCGTACGTTGTGATCGGATGTGGCCTAACACTCAATGACACAGGGTTTATACTGGTTCAGACAACGTGCTCTACGTCCAGTTTGAGTCGGTCGGTGACTTTATTCCTGAGCCCAGGTACTTGAAGTTTGATGTGGGGTTACAAACAAGAGGGAGTAAGATGGGGGTATCAGAGGTCCGATCGGACTCCAGACCGAAGGGCCAAGAGTGACGGGAGCTCCGACGTGTGCTAAGTATTCGAACGTATGCTCTGTCTGGCTTTAGAGTTCTAGAGCCAAACAGAGAGAATCGTTATCAACCGTATGAATCATCTAGGCGAATCGTTGGTTGTTCGAATCGATTGTCCTCTTGGAGAGAGCGCATCCCCTTTTATAAATGAAGGGAACGGCTTTACAAGTGAGAGAGAGTGTGAGAGAAAAAGAGTGTGTGTGCTATCTAGTCTTGTTGCCCACGTCGTCGGGTACAAGGCGGTTTGTCGGCGCCCACAACACTGCTGACGCTCAGATGCATGTGGTAGGCTCCATCGTCCTCTTCTGGTATGGCAAATGTCGGCGCCTACCATACTGTAGGATAAATGTCGGCGCCCACAACACTGTTGGTGTTCTGACATGTCTGGAAGGTTTATAAAGTACCCTTCTGACATGACCTGATAGTACTGTCCTGCAGGTGTGCAGGGTACGGTCCTTGGTATTGCGGTTAACTGGAGCTCCCCACCTTACTTGCTCTGTCTGTTTCCTAGGTCTTCACCGAGCGGGCATCCCCGGTCGGTCGTTCCCCAGTCGGCTCCGGCCTCCCGGTCGAAGAAGAGCTGTAAGTAGAGGTTCGGTGTATTCCCGGTTGGAGAAGTGGGTCAGAGTCAGAAGCGAGCGCCGTTCCTCTCCTTGGCCAGGCCTTCCGGTCGGAGAGGCGGGCCGGAGTTAGAAGCAAGCACCGTTCCTCCTTGGCCAGGCCTTTCGATCGGAGATGTGGGCCGGAGTCGGAAGCGAGCTTTGTCCTCTCCTCGGCTAGGCCTTCCGGTTGGAGAGGCGGGCCAGAGTCGGAAGCGAGCGCCGTTCCTCCTTGACCAGGCCTTCCGGTCGGAGAGGCAGGCCAAAGTCGGAAGCGAGCGTCGTTCCTACTTGGCCAGGCCTTCCGGTCGAAGACTAGATCGCACTTCTGGCCTGTCGTTAGGTTTTTGGGCTGGCAAAGGAGTTGCGCGTCGTTCGCAACGTCGTCTGCTGGGCCGAGCTTTTGCTGGGAAGCAGGTCTATTAGGGACCTCGGGTTTATGAACCCGACAGGAGCCCCCGAGCCCCCGAGCGATTCGGGTACAATCGTCTGAGGGATTTTTTGTCTTGACAGCGGGTGCGTGCGAGAGCACCCGTGGGTGTAGCCCCCGAGCCCCCGGGCGATTCGGGTTGAATCGTCTGGGGGGTTTTTCGTTTTATCAGTGGGGGAATTTTTATTTTAACAGCGGGTGCCCGCGGGTGTTGCCCCCGAGCCTGCGTCCGACTGGTGAGTTGGTTGGAGGCTGAGCATTTTGGTACTCTTTCCTGGGACCGCAGACTGTCGTTCGGGGCATTCACCCGTGTTTGTCCCGCCCGCGACCTGCGCGGTCGGTTGATTTCCTGAGTCGGTGTTAGGCGACCTGAGCCCCTGAGCCCCGTTGGGCTTGGTAGGGGTTGGTCTAGTTCCGTGTGTTACCCCATCTGCGGTTTTTGCAACCAGAGGGGCTGAGCTAACGTCGCTTGCCTTGATGGCTCGAGCAACGCGCTCGGTGAGCTCGCTAACGGGCACGTTCGAGTGGAATCCGGGTCTGTCGTTCGTGACGATATCGGCATAGCCCTCATATGGCATTCCACTGCTCCTTAACCAGCGTCCTGACAGATGCCTGGGTCGTTCTAGAGACTGACTCAGGTGGCCCGCTGGCCTCCCCTCGATGGAGATTCTATGGGCATGGCTCGAGGTTTGGATCGAACGAGAAGGTTGAGATGACCCTGTCTGCCTCCAAGCAGATTGGGCGAGGGCGCTGGGGCTCATCTGCATTTTCTCCCCTGGCTCTGTTTGATGCGAGACGGCCTCGAGCCCTTTCGCGGGCCGGCCTTCGAACCCCGGTCGGTCGTTGCTCATGTCAAATGAGGCAACTTCCACTTTGTGACGCAACACGGAGCGTTGTGATGCATTTAACTACATATGCGATGCTTCGGATGTATGGGATGAATGAATGAATGTGTGAATGAATGATGATGTATCAGAAAAAATAAAGTAAGTGGGATCGGTAGAGTTACCTTGATGACTCGAGTGACAGGTTTGAGGAGTTTTTATCGGATATGTCCGAATGGGATCCGTGCTCGTCGTTCGTGACGGAGTCAGCGTGGCCCACATGGGGCGTCCCTCTGCTCCTTACCTGTCTCTCGGCGTTTGTCTAAGCCATTCGATCGACTCAGGAAGCCCGTTGGTCTCTCCTGGGCGGAGATCACATCGTTGGGCCCTTCCAAGTCTTGCCTAGGAAGGCGAAGGGCCGCCTACGTGCGGTTGCGCCATGTTTCTCACGCTCGACGCGCGGTAGTGGTAGTGGCGGAGATCTGAAGCTGGAGCACGGCGTGGACCTCGCGCCGGCAACGGAGGCGGTGGATCTGCGCCGAGCAGGCGGATCCAGGGCGAGGCATCCCCGTCTCCACTGGATCCCGCTGCATGGGCTCACCGTCGTGCTGGATGGTGCCACACGTCCGCGAGCTGGCCCCCGCTGCCCCCCGTAGGTGGAGGCCGCCGTGGCTGCCACCCCGACGCGGCTTCGTCCCGCAGGTTCGCCTCTCCTCGCGCGCCGCGCTGGTGGGGCGACGGCACCCCCGGCCTATTGCGTAGCGCCGCGCGTGGGCCCCGACGGCGGTGGACGTCCTCGGCCACGGAGCGTCACGACAGGCACATGCCGGTAGCCGCCGCCTCTGCTTCCCCCGCGCTGCCCCTTCCCGCCGCTCCGCGTGTGTTCCACTAAATGGTTGGATTTCTCCGCTCCCCATTCAATCTATGCAGTGAATCGGGTGAAAAAAAATCCTCTTTATCTCCTTTCCTACCTTGCCGGCACGCGCGAGGGCGCGCGTGATGAACTAGTGGCACTATTATTCACATGGATATGAAAACCTGCAAACATATTGCTTGACAACAATATGGTGCCTAAAATTGCGGATTTTGGCATGTCAAGATTCTTCGGTGAGGGGAAAACTTGGACTTGCACAATAAGTCATGTTGGAACACTGTGAGTCAGATGACTCTTGATATAGCTCGTTGTTTTGGAGATTGCTAAAATGATTTTTTTTTACAGTTGTCCCAAGGCTTCAAAGTTAACGCACCCATGTTGCAATGCAGGGTTACATGGCACCAGAATACATAGACAGAGGTTTAATCTCAACGAAGGCCTACATTTTCAGTTTGGGGGTAATAATCATAGAGATAGTGACGGGAGAGAGGGACTATCCAGATGAGACCGGAATATCTTCCCAGGAATTTACTAAGCTTGTAAGAAAATTAATTTCAGCTTTCAAGGCTTCTTTGGAGAGATGATGTTACTCTTTTTCCTCTGTAGTAATTCTATATTTTCTGTGCTTTTTTTTTAGATATTTCAGCTGTAGCTCTGCTATATCATATAAGATATATTTTGTGATTTTACGGGTACTAAATAATTGGAGAGATAGGCTGAAAAAATCGCTGAGATATACATCACTAAAAATTGATTACCAGCAAATAAGAAGATGCATTCAGATAGGTCTGGACTGCTTGAAACTTGATCGGAGGAAAAGACCAACAGTAAGCCAAGTTATCAAGATGCTTCACGGAA